CTTTTATTAGATAGTTGACTGAGAAAACAAATAAATGACTACAACCACTGAATGCAAACGTTACATTCATTGTACAAACAACGATGAAAAAATGCACATGTAATGTCCCAAGATTTTTCTAAGCAAACAAAGAAAAAAAAGACAAGGGAAACCAAGAACTTATTTGCTGATACCTTAAAAGATGCTTTGATTTATCATCCTAGCACCTGATACAAGGGTCGTGTTTCAGGACAGGACTTTCGGCTGCAGGCATTTGGAACTGAAAAATACAATACTTCAAGGAAGTCAAAACATTTCCTTTGCCCCCGCTCGTCTAAGGACCAAAATAATGATTATACTTCCTCCCCCCACCAAAAGGTTTTTTTTCCCCTCACTTTCAAATTCTTCCTGCAGGCCGGATTAAAGACCCCCATTGTCCGGTTTTGGCCCCTGTGTTCGAATTGGAACAAATGTCACAAACTGATGCACAGGTGATTTGTGTACCTTCTGCCATGGAGTGGAAGAGGATTTATTTGTGTCACTTTACATCACTGGCATAGATAGCTGAACAAAGCTAGATTATTTGGAGGAAACATCATTTATGGAGCAATGAAGGAAATGAGATTCTTTTTTTCATATCAATGTGCCAGGGCACACTGGTTGGGAATCACGGTATTGCAGAGCGTTGGCCCCCCCCTCCCCAAACTTGGGGAAAAATCAAACAAACACCCACCCCCCGAAAAATGGGGTTTCCCCCTTCTCATTGTGTTTATTCTTATTTATTGGAATCCAAAGCACGTAGAATGAAGTGCAATTAGCCGTAAAGACTTACAATTGGCGTATGTACGTCCGTTGTCGCCGGACTTTGAACAGCGACAATGGACACACGATGTTGCACAATGAAATTGAATGTATCTTATTAAATTGTTTGGCTGTTATGGACCTGTGGAATTTGGCACTTTATTGTGAAGGGAAACAGAGAAATGAGCTCAACGAGGACAGGAAACGCATTGTGTGATTCACAAAACACGTTTTTTTTTCTTTTTTCGAACAACTAAAATTATTTTCAAGTTGGTTATGGTTTAAA